CAGGCAAGGAGTTCCACAGGTTGACTGTGCGCTGTGTGAAGAACTACTTCCTTTTATTTGTTTTTAAACCTGCTGCCCATTAATTTCATTTGATAGCCCATAGTTCTTATATTATCGGAACAAGTAAATAACTTTTCCTTATTCACTTTCTCCACACCACTCATGATTTTATATACCTCTATCATATCCCACCCTTAGTCTCCTCTTTTCCAAGCTGAAAAGTCCTAGCCTCTTTAATCTCTCCTCATTTGGGACCCATTCCAAACCCAAGCTTGCTTGTGCCATCTTGCCAAAGTGCCTCTCCTTGGCTTGGAAGTAACTCTTCTAGAGTGAGACAATAGACTGGTCTCCATGTCCATTTGGGTCCCCATTCAGCAAAGCACTTAAATACATGCTTGACCTTCAGTATGTGACTTATCCCATCTCTATGCAGTATAGCTCTTTAGTTTAAATGCCTCGGTGGATAGGGATGGGATGATTTATATGCTTAAAATTAAGTACTTGCTTTGTTGAATAGAGCCTTCATCATTATTTCTCTGCTGAGACTGCTACAATTTCTGGTGACGATCATTGCATTCTAAACCCCGCTCTGCCAAGATCTGGGCTGAGACCCCCACCGAGCAGCCACTTGGTAACAATTTTGTGTCACTATCACTTGGGGTTAATTCAACAACTTGGAAGAAACAAAGTCTGATCAGATTTTCTTTTTGAGGTTTTCTCACCCTTTGCATTTATTGTATTCTGTTTTCCTATTTGGGGGTATAATACTACTACTTTAATTAATCTGTTGTCTGATTGTGTCTTTTCCCTCTCCCACCTCCACCCTTTCACACTAGAGGAAATTCATGCAGAAATTTGCTATGCTGAATGCTTGCTTCAGAGAGCGGCTCTCACATTCCTGCAGGTACAGTACCACCCATTATGGCTATTTCATGAAAGCAGGAGGGGAACAGGAGGTTTTGGAAATCAATTGTATACAGATGGAGATCTTTATGTGGGACATTAAAGTGCACATTTTCATACACCCATGCAAGTGACCCAGGTCAAGTCTACTGGACCAAGTCTTTGGGCCCACATCCTCCAATGGTTCTCAAACTATTGTACTGGTGACCCCGTTCACATAGCAAGCCTCCGAGTGCGACCCCCCCCCCCTTATAACTTAAAAACACTTGTTTATATATTTAACACCATTATAAATGCAGGAGGCAAAGCGGGGTCTGGGGTGGAGGCTGACCGCTCGCAATCCCCCCCACTCCTGACCCCCTGAGGGGTCCCGACCCCCAGTTTGAGAACCCCCCACTCCAGGGTATTTAGGCACCTAACTTCCATTGAAATTAGTAGGAATTAGGTACCTAAGACGTGGGCCTTACTTCTTGGTCTCAGAGTGCTGTGGAGGCAGCTGCAGTCCGTGGGGGGGACGACACTTTGCAGCTCTCTCTAGCACCCCCTCTGCATGACTTAGGAGTGATGTTGATGTACTTGGAAAGGAGTTGTCCTCACATTCTTCGGCTGGGTGGAAGGTCACTTCAGTAAGCGTGGCCAGTGTATGAATGGGGGTGGGATAGCATGGAAGAGAAACAAAGGTCATTGGAGTTGTAGCCTGCAGAGGAACTTGTTCCTCTGCTTCTCCCAAAATCCAATGAGTAATCAAAGGGCTGGTCTACACTGGGGGGGGCAGGAGGGGGCAATGTAAGATCCGCAACTTCAGCACGGGGAATAGCGTAGCTGAAGTCGACGTATCTTATTTCGACTTACCTCGGGTCCTCACGGCGCAGGATTGA